TTTGCCTTTAATTTTTCCTCTCGATGTGGAGGCAATTGGTTGGGAGCGCAAAGGCCAATCAATGGGAATCCAATAAATTAGTGTACTTTAAAATTTTGCTTTTTCTTTCTCTGTTTATTTTTTTTTCTTTACTTCTTTTTTTTTCTGGACTTTCCTTCTTTACTTCTTTTGGGTGAAGGTAATATCGTGAACTTTGGAAAATGAACAAAACTTTTTCCTCGTGTGTATGGTTTTAATGGAGAAGATTTTATACTCTTATTTACAGTATTTGAGAGTAGTTTTGAGAGTGTAGAAAACTAGAAATAGGAGGAAGAATATAAAAATGAGATTTGGGAGGATCTTGAAATGAATGCTGCGGGCGCCCAATAGGCCACTACGTTTTTTTATTATCTTTAATAATTTTGTAATGGGTCCGTCAAGTATTGGAGAGCCGACAGACATAAATCTGAGGTTGAGAAAAAAAGTAATATTACAAAAAGAAAGCAATTAATTTGGTTTAACTTCCTTTTGGAAATTAATGACAGACATTGGTCGTTTTTCATTTGTCTTGCGAAACTATGAAATTGTGAGAAAATCGTATAATTTGTTCTTAACTCAGTACAGCATTGGGGGTGAGTTCATATATTTGTTAATCGATACTTTAATTCCAGGTTATAAGGTAGCCTACGTCATATAAAGGCGGGTGAACATAATTGAAAACTTTAAAAAAGTATAGTCCCATTTACTTTGCACCCTTTTGTTTTCTTCTTCTTTCTCGCTTTGACACATTGTTGAGCAAAGTATTATGCCCAGAGCCCAGTTGCCGACTCTCTCTTCCCGTGATTGAATATTTTGTCAATATGCAAATGCAACACTATTTGTAATTATTCAATTATTTATATATTTTATCTTATGGGTGGGTGCTGTGCTGTCCATCTGAGCATGTGGGGTGATGGAAATTTTTATTTCTTTTCACTTGAAACAAAAATCTGCACAAAATTGTGATTGTTTCTTTCATTTTTTAAAAAAAATAAAAAATTAAGAAGAGAGCAATTTTCCAACAATGTATAGTAGTATCTCACTGAAATTCGTATCTATTACTAGTTACACCTCTATTTGCTAACAAATCTAATTTGCTTCTATTTCACTCTAAACATCTGATTCTTCATTTCTCATTTTTCTTCTTTATTTCCTTCATAGATAAAAAATGGAAGCTCCACACAACATGTGAGTTTTAGCTTTTCATGCTTGTCTCAATACAAAAATATCGCATAAGTATTCTTTATGCACTAGAGCCTCCATGGCAGCTGTTGCAACCCATAATTATTTTTTTCTTATTTTATTTCTTTTTTGTGTGTGTGCTAAAACGAGTTTTCGACTCAATGCCAATTATTCTTCATTCTCCATTATTCTATTTTTTCCAACCATGAAGTACAAAAACCCCGACTTTCAACTTTGAATCCCCAAACTTAATCAATATTGATTAAGACAATCACAACCACATCTCAACAGTATAAATTGTTTTAAAACTGAATCACCACAAATAAATAACACAAGTGTCAATGATCATTATTTTGGTCTCAAAATGAAAGAACATTAAGATACTTATCACTATATAATTAATACAAGTCGTTTAAACTAGTACAATTCAATCAAAACTAACTCTCATACCATCATCGTAAGGTACCACGGACAAGCAAACTCACGGCCACACAAAACAAGTGAATGTAAAACAATTTAAAAATTAGCTTATTCTAGTATGGGACACCTCAGTACCAAAACTGTTGCAACAATTTTAGTCTTAAAACATGAATTCTATGCAGCATAAACATATATAACTACATAATAAAATATGAAATCTCAGCTAGAAAGCCTCCTCTCCAGACTTAGAGTTTCCACATATTATCGACACTCGAACAAACACATAATAATAAAAATAGAGTTCAAGAAATGATTTCACCTTAGTTAATGCGGTTGAAGTCTCGGCTGAAGTATTCACACATTGGGTTTGCCTCTTAATAAGTGCCTTTTTGTTTTCATTGGATTGACTTATTTCTCCATTCCTTTCATCAAAAACTCCACGACGGCTTAGGATATGACCTCGAGGAAGACACAAATCTCACAACACCATACTCATTAAAATTCTCCCTTTGGGGCGTTGGATGCTTCACCGGATTTTTTTTCCATGGTGGTTTCTCATGAATATGCAGTAGCCGACTATCTAGTCCACACTCGATTTGCTCGATCGACTGAAGCGGAGGGATATTAAGGCCTAAGACATGCTTCAATGTATCCTTACTTAGTACCCTTTTCATATTGATCGCTATGAGGCACAATCAACTTTTGTTGGCGCAAGAGCGTGAAATACGACACATTTTCTTTGCTCCAGCAGGTGGGTATGGGGTACCCCGATACTGGGTTGCTTCATGATTTATTCATTCTCCAGTTCATATGTGGGTTCTTCAGGTTCCTCAAGGTCCTTGCTACACAAATAGGTGACACTATATATCTCACTATGAGGAGTGTGAATTGAAAGGTGATTATTTTGTATTCATTGAATTTGTGATAGGAATAAAAATGGGGTGGGGTTTAGGTTTCCAAAAATCAGTGAATCGTGTAAAAATTAGTTCAAAACTTTATTCCACAATCAAACCCAAATCACAAAACTTGATTTAGGTTTCCAAAAACAAAAGGCTACATAGCATATCTCTACCTAAATCAGCAATCAAACATGTAAATTCATTGTTTAGACACACATATACAAACAAAATAAAAATAATATAATAAAACAAAAGATATTGGTTTTCTTATATTTATTCTTATATACTTCTATCAATCAAGACCTGACTCTTAAGCTTTTATAGAGTCTCAAACTAAGTCAGGTCCAAGAATAATATGAATGTTGCCTGAATTTCATCACTAAAATAAATTAATTTCTGACTTGTTTTAAATATGCGTACATGCCTAAACTCGCAACAACAGCGGCCCCAGCAGCAGCAACACTATAGGCCGAAATCGATCCATCTGCATGAACAAATTCAAGAGCCCCTGATTTTGTTCGTCTTGGATGGTGACTTGTTCCCAGGTAGTCTAAATGCAATCTTAATCCCTATTCAAGTTAAACATACATTATGTCAGTAGATCATAAGGTACTGTTGCATAACAAAATAGATCTTTTTATATTTCAGAATTACGAATATTACCTGAAATACTACTTGTATTTCCCATACTTGTAATTTTTTAAAAAATAAAATAAAAATAATAAGTATATAGTTGGGTTGACACTTGAAGATAGCCTTGCAATTATCTCTTTTTCAGTAGATGAAAAGTAGAGGACAAAAGATATAAATACCTTCCAGCCAGATACTCTTGCATGGTGTATGGCTGCTTGAAGATCACTATCTGAAGCTAATAGAACCTTGTCATTATCTTCATCTTCATACTATGAAAAATAGGTGGTCAACGAGAATCGTGAGAGACTCGGAATTGTAGAAAAAAAAATGAAAATATAAGACAATTCGGAGGCCGAAAGATACCATAATTAGTGGAATGTTGTTGCGGTCGATATCAGCCCCTACTTTTTGAAGGATTTCTTTAACAAGGTCACTCATTTTCTCTGAATCTGGACCCCAAAATATGACGACAAACGGGTTAGAACCATGAAAAGAGTTATTTATGTGATGTGAATTGGAGATTGTAAAAGATGCAATTATACGATATGAAAAAAATTATAAACAGCTGCATTAAAAAGTATTGTAAAAACAAATCTGTTTCCGTTCCTCCTTTATTTTAAGATTGGAATATCTCCAAGGATTTAGCGGTGGATAGGAGCGCTTGGAGGCTCGCTATCAACGTGCCAGAACCGTGACTTTTGCTCCTTTCTCTCTCTCTCTCGTTTTTTTTTTTTTTCGATCTCTTCCTTTCGGTTCGAGTCTTTTTGTGTTTCTCCTGGGTTTCATCTCTAGCCTACCCCGACTTGCTTGGGACTTAAGGCTATGTTGTTGTTGTTGTAAGGACTTGACACCACCATAGGTTTACCTTTGAACTTGAATAATTTGAAACATTTACTACAACAACACTGCTTAAGTTTAGTCCAATTTTATACAAAAGTCACCTGTTATTAAACATTACATATATCTACTTGAAGTTCAAATATGTTTTACAAAGAATCCCCTCAAAATGTGCAAGTATTAAATCAGCAACAAAATTTAAGGGCACATTGTAACTTTGGAAGACAACTTATTTCTTTTTTTTTTAATTTTTAGAAAATCGAGATAGTTACCATTTACCCTGAAACATATCTACAGTGAGAAGTTTAGGTTTAAAAGACGATACATACCACATATAAACCTATACATTCTTCCTTTTCTGTCTTGAATCTTGAAAGAGAAAATATTCGATGTAATGGAAGAAGGTGGCGGGACAGATACACCCGTCTCTCCCCCCTCAGAAGCCAACTTCAATGAATTCTCACTGAAATAGTATTACACCATTTGAAATAGTAATAAATAAATAAAAAATAAATATAACAAGAGTGAGTTGTGAAATGGAAGGTGAGGACTGCAACCTCTGGGTGTCATCCTCATCTTCTGGACTTAGAGCCATAGCAGAATCCCAAAAATTTTGCATCATGGAATTTGTAGCTTCACTATTAGCTGCAACAGCATTACCAACCTAAAAAAAGGTAAAAAGTGGAATGAAAGAAAAATTAGCACCACAAAATTAGAAACCTTTTTAGCTGGCATTAATAATGTATTTACTATCCATCATGGTATGTAGTAAAGTACTCATCTATTTCTCACATGAAAAATGTCTTATTCATTAAATATTTTTTCCTTATAGAAAGTCAAACATGACTTACCGTTGCTACAGCAGCATGAGTTATGTGAAGCACATCAATGACAGTTACGATCATTCCCTCTGTTTAATTGAATGAGATTAAAAGGTATGAAAAAAATTAATAATCAACTCATTTTGGTGTAACTACCAACAATTAGGGACCAGAAACTACCTCGATCAACAACTGGAAGGTGTAGAAACGACCCATCGTGCATAGTGTGAAGAGCATCAACTATAGGTGAATCAATAATCGCGCATTCTGGATTTGGAGTCATCACCTTGTGTATTAATAAAGGGAAAAGGCAAAGTCAAATCTTTCCCGAAAGAGAAGAAAACACTAATAATAGCCGAGGATTATCCAGGATTGATTCCAGTAAAACAATGCAATTAACCACACATTAGATAAAGCAACTTATGATAATCAAATATTCAAGTGTCTACAAACAACGTAGTGTATGCTAATATGGCAAGAAAAATTACCTTCTCCACTGGAGTTGATTCTGGAGAAAGATTGTGTGCTATGACTCTCATTAGAATATCTTTTGAACTGCGAGAATTATAAGACATACAATCAAACTCAGCTAATTTGCTTAAGTATAATGTTAATGTAAACATATGTTTCCAGTTGAGAGTAAGCTCACGTTAGTATTCCCCGAGGTTTGTTATCTACTGTGACAACTGCAGAGCTTGTTCGAAGTTCAAGGATTTTCTTTGCCGCAACTAACACGGTGTCACTAGGATCAATTGTAACAACTCTAACCACACAGATTATAACCAAATTTAGGTGGTTTTCATGTATATACGAAAATTATATTTTCATAATATTTAGAATAAGTTAATAATACAAGTGAAGATATTACCTACTTTGGATTCTCGGAAATTATAGTCGACAATGACGGTCTGAACATTCTCTCTCGAAGTGTCTCAATGAATTTGTTAGGCTCTATAAAGTCAAAAAACTAAACATCACTCAAAAAATAAACAAAAATGATCAACACATTTACAAAGACATAAAAATAAAGTAATAAAAAAATAAAATTAAGGTAGCGAATAGAGACCAACATAATCTTAACAATACACTTTTATTTAACAAATAATTTAAAAACAAACATAATTTGCACTAACCAGAGACTGTTGTCCCCCATTGTTTCTCAACACCTTCGACTGCAGCTGCAATGGCCTTTCCTTTTTCAGCTGCCCTCTCCATACGAGCAATAGCATCATACAAACATTTAGTTATATCTAGTAGTGCAATCACTTCACCATTTTCCACAACAGGTAAATGCCTAAACTTTCCTGTAGGAAAAAGATAAAAGTTCTGACATTACAAGAATGTGATATTGTGATACATAGAGTAATCAATCAAATATCATCAATCTAATTACCCTGAACCATTTTTTGCAAAGCTTCAACAGCAAGAGTGTCTGAAAGAACAAACACGGGATTTTTTGTCATGACTTTCGAAACAGGTGTTCCCTCAAGATTGACCTCACGAGCTATAACTCTTGTAGCTATATCCTTTAATTGAGAAATCAAAATGACAAAACTTGTAAATTAATAAATTATCAATCTAATATGCATGAAAGGGGCGAGGGCCAACGGGCCACGAGTGAAGTATGAAAACCATGGTAAAAATTTCTTTTTGTTACTTGAATTGTTGTCTACACCTTATCTGTCAAGATACCGCATAATAATGCATTCGAATCGGTTAGCAATAATGCATCAACTCTACGTGCTGCCATCCTAAGACAAGCTTCCTTAATAGTTGTACTTTCAGGTACTGTCAAGGCTTTTGACAGCCGCAATCTCTTCACCGTCCGTTCTCCCATAAGTCCCCTGTTGCAAACATGGAGAAATTGATTTATTAAATGCTTTTGCCAAATAAATTTCCAACTTCCCTTTTGAGTGAAAGTTTTACTTTACAAAATCATCTACAATACAATTTTTAGTATGTATGTGTGTGAGTGTGGGTGTGGGAGCAATAAACTCGAGCTTAAACAATAACATTCCCAGGCTCAATTAATTTTAAAGTTCAACCAGATAAAAACCAGAGTCTCATATATGAGAAAATATTTTAATAAAGAAACGAAGAAAAAAAAAACATTTTGTTTGAAATAGTCTTTTGGCACCAAACAATGGATTATCCACCTGAATAACCAAAAAATCTTGTTATATAAAAAAAGGTCGCAAATTGTCAGCACCAATGTTAGCAAGAAACATTCATAAGGAATGAATATGGAATAAATGCTTCGCAATTTCCGAACAACACAAAAAATTGTATTAACATAACTGGAAGCACCTTAATCATGCAATGCCTATAGAGAATCAAATCAATTCTAGAGAATTAAAATAAAAATTAATAAGATAGGTAACGGAAAACATGGTACACATACACAGAACGTGAGACCGACAAGGATTTTCGTTTAGAGGGCGAATCCCCAAATCCTCCACCGTTCTCCGATGCGGCGGAGGCGGAGGCCTTTTTCCTGGATAGCGACGAAGATTGCGGCAATGACATGCTCCTCCTCGATGATAAACCACCTTGACTCGTCGTCATCCACTCGATTAAACAACAATCCACCTTCTGTAAACCATTCAGATCCAAAGAAAATTTTAGAAAAATAAAAAAGTTGAAAGCTAAAAAGCCATAACTCATTGACATTTTTTGGAATTTAAGCGCTAAAAATCATTCACACCTGGTGAAATTAAGCTGTATTAATCGGGAATAATGACAATTAATACGAGCCAAGGAGGAATGTGTTTCTTCGTCTTTCTTCTTCTTCTTCTCTCCCTTTCTGTATTTTTTTTTTAAGTTAGATTTGTGTTTCTTAGTTATTTTTGAAAGGGGAGGGAATGGTTGAATGTCTGATATTTCCATTTTTAGATAATTATTTGCAAGAAAAATGTTGTACCACCAAACAACTCATTTAAATTCCTTCGAGTTTTATCGCACGTGTTACGTATAGTGATACCTAGGGATTTGGAGAAACATTGCCTATTTTATTTATTTGTTTGTGTAAAAAACTAAAAATGTCATTTTTTTAATTCAATCATTGTCAATCGTTTTGGTCGTCAATGAGAAGTTTGCCATTTCCAAGGAGAACCATTTTGCAAGGAGAAAGGGAAAAGATGTTACTACCTCCTATTCTTTTTAAATGTCATTTTGGCTTTATCAACTATTAACCAAAATAAATGTCGTTTTGGATCTTTTGTACATATTTTTCCATTATTACCCTCATTTAGTTAATAAATACATTACGTCTTTTCATATTCTCTTCATCTTTTTTTTTTTTAAAACATCCACCTCTATCTTCATTAATGAGGGTTATCATTGGCAAAAAAATTATTCTTAATTAGTGTGCAACTTCCCAAAACGACACTTATTATGAATAGGAGGGAGTATTAATTTTCTCTCTCTGCATATTAAATGTGCATTGATTCAGGGCTAAAAAACTACAAGCAAAA